AGGGTACATTGAAGGGACTGCAATGGATGAGTTGAAAAAAATGTGTATGAACTGTTGAATGTAAAAGTGATGATACGCTCTAAAAACTTTCACCTAATTCACAATTAGAAGTTTTTTTTAAAAGGGGGGGAGCCTTTTTCACATGCCAAAAGACTTTCCCACTCTGTAATATCTTATCAATGATTTCAAATTTAGCTTTTTCATATTTTGGGCTCTTATCGACCTGGAAATTATTTCTATACATCAGGTACTGATAAACTACAAACCACGAGCCAAATACAACCCATCATTAGTTTTTGTAAATGTTTATTGTAAAGCAGACATGTCCAATTGTTTAAATATTACCCACAGCTACAAGAAAAGAGGATAATGAGACAGAGACCTTATAGCCCACAAATTAAAATATTTATTATCTGCTTCTTTTTTTAAAAAAAGCATGTACATTTAGACATGCGATGTGGTTATTATTATATGATAAATCCACTGCTACTGAATTGATTCAGATTCATAGAAACCCTATATAAAGTTTCTGAAACAATTGATCTTTAGAGGAGTATATAGCTTCATCTTTCTCCCAAAAAGCAGCTGGTCGATTTGAACTGCCAATTGTACTATCTAACGCTGCTTCCCAGACACACGATCAGAGCCCTTTTGTTATAAAATAGAAGGAAGAACTTTTCCCTGCCAAGTTGGGTAACCAGCATCATTTACTAATTAGCCCATCCTTTTCTGAATGAGAACTATTTTATACACCAGGTTCCTGTATACATCTGTGTCTGGGCTTTCTATTCTACAGTCTGATGGCTTAATTGTATAAATAAGCCTCTAACAGGGTAAAGCCCTCTACTTTAGATTTCTGCCTTCAAAACCATCTTGGCCTTTGATCTCATTAGCGTGTCTAATACCTCATGATTCCACAGTAATTTTCATTTAAATAGAATTGACTTAAAAATGAAGAGGTTTCATATCTCTCTGGTTTTTCCATTCATTAACATAGTAATATGAACATAATATTCTGAACATTTGGGTTTTCAGTGACATCCCTCAATAAAACTTTACAAATACCATAAGTATCTCAAAGTTTTGTTTTTATTAGCATACAGAACAATTGAGTTTTAAATACAGTATAGGTAAATGCATGGATCTTTTTTAAACTTGCCAAGTTACTTTGAATTCTAATACGTGTATAGCTTTGAGTGTGTTTGTACCTTTTTTTTGGCGTTTCCTATGTATACTCACTACTATTGAGATGCCAACTCATAGCAACCCTACAGACAGTCCCTATGAGTTTCCAAGACTGTAACTCTCTACGGGAGGGAGTAGAAAGCCCTATCTTTCGCCAGTAGTGCAGCTGGTGGTTTTGAACTTCAGATCTTGCAGTTAGCAAGTAACCACTACACCACCACAGCTCCTTATGATCATATTTTCTGGCAATAATGACTCTTTTGTTCTATCCTTCCTTCCCAAAAGTTACACACCTACTTCTTACCAATTATCTCATCTGACATTTCGCACTTACAATAGCAGAAAATCTACTATCCAACTATTTTGCACATTTAACAACGTATTTCTGGCATTAATGAACATGGGCATGCAGGACAAGCATATGCATCAACTTGACTGGGCTACAAGTCTCAGTGGTTTGGCAATTATGCAACAATGTAATTTGCTGGTTATGTAATAATTCATTTACATGTTAGTTAGGTAATGATGTAGTCATCCTTCATTTTGTGATGATGAGGTTTATCCTTCATTCTCATGTAATACCACTTTTCATATAACGACCTGGACTTTAGGACCTAGCTATTGATAAGTGAGAAGTAGATGAATTGTGACAACTATATCAGCTTTCTTTTCATTTTCTTTTTCAATATCATAATGCTATGATCTTTTTAACATTAATGTTTTATACTTAAAAATACTTCATCTGCAACACAAGCTTTTTCTGGCTATTACTCCTAATATTCTGGTATCTTCTCCTCGAGTAATTTCCATTAGCTCTATGCCCTAAATGCTTTGGTTATATCTCTGGTAAAGAACTTACGGCTAGATTTTGTTTTTCATTCAATTTGAGTCTTTATCTTTTAGTTATATGGACTTCTACTAAGCAGACATTTAGCCATATAGACTTTAGTGCATTTACATTTATTATTACTTACTTATTTACATTTACTTGTCACCTTATATGCTTTTTCTTGTGCATTTTATACAGCATTTTTAAAATATAACAAGACTAGAAATAATATAAGGAATATTTGGGTTAATTAAATCTCAGCAAATACTATATTTACTTCAGATATATTTTAAATAAATATAAGATTATAGACACAACTGAAGTCTCTCTTTTTCTGAGTCCCCCTCCCTGCAGGGAAACAAGATATTAAAATTTTACTATGACCACCTATACTACTTTTAATATATTTATGTAGAAATAATATATCAGATTGTTTAGAATTTTAAACTTTACTTAAGTCATCATACCAATTTACATTTCCAGCTACAGTGTGTCCCAAGCAAAATCGCAGTATAGAAAAGAATTAATCCCAATTTTTCTAGTTTTTGCAAGACTTTATATCTGCAAGCAACCCCTCTCATCTGTATCATTTTTTCTTCTTGAATACATCATTTCTATAAACACACAAACAATACTCTAGCACCTTTTATCTTTCATCATTATGCCCACATTTCCCCTCAGAATTCTTTTCTTTATAATGAGCCAGACAAATGAGGGCAGAGAAGACTGTGATCTGGCTTTGATAAGATTATAACAAAGAAGAAAATACAATGAAAGGAAAATTATTGTGGAATAATCATTAAGCAGTCATCCAAAGACTAGGGATTTGGACTGTTACTACACAAGAGCAATTATATTTTAGTCTTTCTTTGCTATAGGAGCCTTTGTGGTGCTGTTGGGTAAACATTGGGCTGCTAGTCATAAGATAGACAGTAGCTCTACTCCAAAATTTTCTTAGTCTTCTTTCGCTACCATCATTTATTCAAGGCATGCTATCTCTATCTCTAAGGGAATTCCATTCCTTTCCACTCCTAGGAAATTCTAGTGAGACTGACCTCTTTTTTATTCTCTGAAAACGCAGAGTTCATTCCTGCCTTTGAACATTTGCACTACTTATTTTCCCTGGTCAGAATGCTGTTCTTCTGATCTTTGCAAGACAGGTTTTCTCTTGCCATTCTGGTCTGTTTAAATGGCAATTCCTTAGACAGGTCTTCCTTTAAGACTCAGTCACACACATATTGCCACCCATTGAATTGCTACTATATCACTTTCTTTGCACAGCACTTAGAACTAACAGATTTTTTAAAAAATATTTGCTTATTCAACAACTATTTACCATATTCCTATATATATCTGAGACCCCCTGTAGTAGGCATGGTAATATGAATAAAAAAACAAGTTTCCATTTTAATAAAATACATATAAATCAGATGGTGATATATGCTTCAGAGAAAAATAAAGTAGGAAAAGGAGATGTGGAAGTAGGGAGTGGGGAATGCGTTTATAAATTTTGTAAGAAAAAGCTTGCCATTGATCAAAAAACTAAAAGTGGTAAGTGGTAAAAATGTACAGATACCCGCGGAAGAAATTCCAGGTAATGCAAAGATGCTGAGGCAGCAACGTGCCTAACAAGAACCATATATAAAATGGAGGAGTAATGGAAAAGGAAAACAGGAGATATGCAGAGAGAGCAAAAATAACCTAGATTGTGACTAAGTGCTGAACCGAAAACCACAAGGTTGGTCGTTCAAACCCACGAGCATTTCTGAAGGAGAAAGATAAAGCTATCTGCTCCTGTTAAAAATTAACACTCAGAAACCCTATATAGGATAAGTCATAATTAACTAGATGGCAGTGAGTACCTTACTAGAATTTGAAGGAAGCCTTTGGATTCATAGGATTTGACAGTGTGCCATAATCTCTGGTGGTGTTGGGGTTAAGCATTCAGCTGCTAACCAGCAATTCAAATGCACGAGTTGCGATAGGATGACTGCATTGGTATCAACTCAATGGCAATGGGTTTGGCTTTTAGTATAACCTGACTTAGAATTCTGCTTTGACAAAGAGAAGGGTAGCCAACTGGAAAACTATAACAAACTAATAGTTACCTTAAACTTCATAAACCTAGCTATCTGTTAACATTTAAGCTAATGACATCTTTCTAAAGAACCTTTAGAACTACCCAAACTACAGAAATAACTACCTGGAATAAGGTGTCAATAGTCAAAGATGACAAGAAGTGGCTACATTTGGTTATGTTCTAGGGTAGACCTGATGGATTTGCTGATAGGTCAGATAGAGAGTATGACAGAAAGAGGTTCGGAGATGTCTCCAAACCAAACAAGTGAAAACCAAACAAGTGAAAGAACCAAAAATGTCCCTTCTTGGGAAGAGAAACAAACTGATTAACAGGTTTAGAATGCCTAAACCAAGGAACTGTAGTGGCATTGTGGGTTACACCTTGGGCCACTAACCCCAAGATCAGCAGTCCCAAACCACCAGCTCTTCTGTAGGGGAAAAGATGACTTTCTAGTCTTATAAGGAGTTACAGTTTTGAAAACCTAAAGGGGAAATTCTACCTTAAAAAGCGAAAACTGGAAAACATCACTTGCTTAAAATTTTTTCACATGTTGCTTTTCACAAATGAAATCCTCAATATTCTGAAAAAATCTAACTCTGTAATAGAGTATTAAAAAGATTTTCCTCTATTTGATGTACATACGGTATGCAAACACATCGAAAAGCTATTTTTACGCAAAAAGGCATTAACTTCCATAGTTACAGCAACACTTTTGGACAACGCGACAGTTCCCCTCCGACCTCGGAAGGCCACCATCTCCCTCCCAGCAGAGAGCAAGGAGGCACTCGGGGCATCTGCACAGAGGTCGAAAAGCTCACAGAAGGGCCAGAGCCCTTTTGCAGAAGTCCTTCGAGGCCCACCTCGGGAGCCCGCCCCCTAGCCGCCCAGCGGCGCCCCCTCAGCTACCTTTCCGCCGGAAGAAGGACATGGCGGGACTCCGGTGAGGGCGGAGGGCCCGGGGGGACTGTCGCGGGGAGGGTCCAGCTACCCTCATTCAGCAACTGGCCCACACTCCAAAGTGCGCAGCGGCCACCGAACTAGCGCCAGAAGACACTCTTCTTCCGGATGTGAACCTCACTGCTTCCTAGAGATCCCAGGGCAGCGACGGCCGCCATGTTATCAACAAGCAGCCCGTCCGGAGTTCCGGTCCTCCCCGCGCGAAGCTTCACGGGAGGCCGAAATGCCGACCACGCCCCCAATTCGCTGGAGGCTGCGGGCACGCGCCTGCGCAGCGTACGTGACCTTGCTTACGAGCGGGCGGCGTACTTTTAAGGGCTAAAGGATAAAGGAGCCAGCCACGGTGCTAGTTACCGGTACTCCACTGGCTTCTTGGGGACTATGGCGCTGCAAACAAGGTCTTCCCTAAGGAGCCCTCCAGCAAACGGGAACTCTGAAGCTCCCTGACTAGTCCAGGGAACTTTCTTAAAGTCGGTCAGCGCTGCCAAGCTCTGCTTCACCACTCACTGTTTCTCCATTTGAGATTTGCTAAAACCAGGTGTTAAAATAAACGTGGACTGCCTTCATTCTGCATTTCCTCCGCTTCCTTTCTTAGAGGGCTTCTAGGCATAACTACCCTAATTAGGAATTTGTTCTTATGAGATACAATCAGTTAGTTTTGACTCATAGCGACTCTGTACAATGAAAGGAAATACTGTCAGGCCCTGCAGATCCTCATAATTTTCTACCTTTGAGACCATTGCTGAAGCCACTAAATGAGTCCATTTTATTGAAGGTTTACTCCATTTTCACAGCCAAAAACCTGAGACTAGCATTCTGGCTGTACTTCCAAGACAGATTTGTTCATTCTTCTGGCAGTTTATGTTATATTTTATATTCTTTGTCAACAACAAAAGTCAAATTCATCAATTCCTCTGCGGTCTTCCTTATTCATTGTCCAACTTTAACCTGCATATGAAGCAATTGAAAATACCGTGGCTTGGGTCAGGCATACCTTAGTCTGCAAGTGACATCTTTGCCTTTTGAACACTTTCGAGAAGTCTTTTGCAGCTCCCGAAGCAATGCTTTGATTCATTTCCTGACTGCTGCTTCCAAGGGTATTGATTGTGAACCACAGTAAAATGAAATCTTTGACAACTTAAATATTTTTCTGTTTATCATAATGCTGCTTATTGGTCCAGTTATCAGGATTTTGGTTTTCTTTATGTTATGGTACAATCAATATTGAAGTCTTTGATCATCAGGAAGCGCTTCAAAGTCCTGTTCACTTTCAGTAAGCAAAGTTAATTGATGTGCATATCTCAGGTTTTTAATGAGACTTCTAATCAAATGCCACAATCTTCATCGTATAGTTCAACTTCTTGCATTATTTGGTCAGTATACTGATTAAACAAATAGGGTAAAGACAACCCTGACAGCCTCCTTTCCTGATATGAAATCACACAATATCCCCATGTTAGTCTGGGTAAACTAGGGAAACAAATCCACAGAAACTCATAACGTATAAGAGAGAGTTTTATATAAAAGGTAAGTGTATATTAAGAAAGCATCCCAACCCAGTGCTGTCCAATCCCGTAAGCCCAACATTAGTCCATATGTCTGACACCAATCTACAAAGTCCTCCTTAATCTCACAAAACACACACTATGATGTCAACTGCAGGAGGAAAGCTGAATCAGTGAGCATGTAAGTATCTCAGCACTGGCAGGGGTCTCCACATGGCTGCTCCAACACCCAGGGCTGCATCAGGGTAGGTCCAGGTGGCTTATCCTCAGGGATGTCTTGCAGGAAGTGAGCCTTGCCAGCTGAAGCAGGGAACTGGCTAAGGCAGCTGCACCCTGGTCCAACCATCAGAAAGCAAGAAACCTGAGAATTAGAAATGCAAGGAACGCCGAGCCATTTATCTCTTCACCCATCAATTAATCCCACATGTGTTTATAGGGAAGGTTGGCACAATAAACCTTAACTAGCTCAATCCCCTTGTCCTGTTTTCAATGACCGCCTCTTGGTCTATGTACAGGTACTACACAAGTACAATGAAATGTTCTGGAATTGCCATTATTTGCAATGTTTTCCACAATTTGTTATGATTCACCCAGTTGATTTGCATTTGCATAGTCAATAAAACACCGGTAGGCATGTTTCTGCTAGTCTCGGCTTTCCACCAAGATGTATCTACATCTAGCATAATTTCTGACAGTTTCCTGTCAATGTACTGCTGTACCATTTTTTAAATTATTTTCAGCAAAATTTTGCTTGAATATAACTCTAATAATGTTATTTGATAAATTCTACATTCTGTTTGATTAACTTTCTTTGAAGTGTCAGGAATGTGAATCCCTTCTAGACAGTTGGTCAGGCAGCTGCCTTCCAAATTTGTTGTTCCAGATGAGTGAAGACTTCCAGTACTGCACCCTTGTTAGGCTGGGAACAGAGAAGCAAATGCAGTGAAATTTGTACATATTAAGTCCAGTCTGGTCCAAATCCATGGGTCAGATACTGGAGCCTTCTCCTGACTAGGGGAAACTAACAAACCAGGAAGTAGGAAGGCAAACCAGGAGGAACACAAGCTGGTAGAAGAAGAATTGATTGATTCTAAGGTCAACAGGTCAGACGGCAGGCAGGTTGTTGATGGCTCCTTGAGTCAACAGGCAAGATGACAGGCTGTTGACTCAACTCCAAATAACCATAGTTGGATGATCCAGATGTAGGATTGAGATATAACAAGAACCAAGCTAGCTTCCCCATAATGTCCACTTTCAGTTGTATTCCACACTAATCTTACAACTGATTGGCTGTTCACAGCAGATTCCATTATGGAGTTGATTACATTATATTACATAATATTATAGGGCATTCCTAGGCCTTTCTTGCTAAACCTCTGACCCTGAAGTAGTTGGCCCCAAACTTAACACACACCTATTTGTTAAAATATCCTAACTGGTCTTCTGTCAGAACCTATATTTCAGTATTGCTTTCAGCAGAGCTTGGACTTATTCTTTCAATTCCATTGATTCTTAATCATATATTATTGATCTGATTGAACACTGGACTTATTTTTTCTTTTTGTACAGTGACTGTGTATTCCTCCAATCTCTTTTATCTTCCCTGAGACTAACATTTTTGTTTTATTTTTAAACTTTTTATTGGATCCAATCTCCTTTTGATGCTTCCTGTATCACTCAATTTATGGCACATAGAATCATGAATATTTCAACTTGAGCCTTGAATATTTTCTTAAGTTCTTTCAGCATGAGAAATGCCAAGTGTTCTTACTTTTTATTTTTGTTTTTTGCACATTTTGTCATAATACTTTACAATGTCTTCTTGAATCATTGCTTCTTTTCACTTTAGCTACTTACCCTATAGTTAAGAAAAATTTCAATCATTTGATATTCATTTTGGTCTTTTCTTTCTTGCCTGTCTTTTTTTAAAAAAAAATCATTTTATTGGAGGCCCATACAGCTCCTTTTGAAATCCATCCATACATCTATTGTGTCAAGCAAATTTGTACATTTGTTACCATCATTATTTTCAAAACATTTTCTTTCTACATGGGCCCTTGGTATCAGCTCCTCATTTTGTCCCCTTCCTCCCTTATCCTCCCTTGTTGATAATTTATATATTTTTTCATGTCTTACACTGACCAATGTCTCCCTTAACCCACTTTTCTGTTGTCCATCCCCCTGGGAG